AGAGAGAGAGAGAGAGAGAGAGAGAGATGTGCGTGTGCAACGCTACAGCTGATCGCTCAGCTGACCGCCCCGCGTGAGCCGCCGGGCGCCGCGGCGGTGCGCCGCTCCTGTCTGCCTCTTGTACTCGGCCAGTTATTCGCTGACTATTTCTTTGAATAATTCAAAAACTAAGCTTCGGAGAACATTTTAGTAAGAGAAAAATCGTTTTAGAATTTAATCAGGAATACGACATTTCAGGGACACTATACCTATTTTGAATCACCCTGTATTTATTGAGAAAAGTCCCCTGTTATGATAATAAATATTACATATCTGATACGAAAACCTATTCAGATATCGCTTGGATATCTAAGAGATGTCTTCTAGATTCTAAAAAGTTACGATTATTTCATCTGAAATATGATATTTGATTTTATATCAAATAATAGATATTTATATTTTAGTGAAATCGGATATTACATATTACAGAATAGGCAATGTGTTAAAGAAAATATATTTGTTCGTTATCAGTTTCGGCATAAATTATTAAGAAACACGACCTCCACAAATCAGTATTTACTTTTTATACTATTACTGTAAACTCATATTTATCTTTTTTATTTTTCATCGTACTATATTTTCTTTTTTGACTAGATAAATTTACAAAACTTATTTTGAGGAAAATTTAAATAGTAAACACTTATTTAGAAACAAAAAATAATAAAAATATTAACGATAATTTTGTAAAAAATATCAGAAATATGATATCTTTAAAGTATTCAGGATACATTATCTACAAGATATCTCAAATATGAAATGATATCTGATACGTTAAGTCTCAGATATATTTTGCCGCGTGGGTACACGTATCTTCGTGCAATTAAGATGCAAATTACAGTTCCATTCAAGTAAAGTTTGTGCAAAAACATAACTGAAAAAAATCTGTTCTCTCATCTGTAGTTCGCCGGAAGCTTCTTTTTTCAGTCAGTTGACGTCAAAAACATGTTAATCTTCTTAAAAGGAGATACAGATATCGGGGATACACCGTCATCATTTTATACGCATGCTCCACGCATGCGGTGTCTACCTATTGTAAACACGTGCAGGCTGAGCAACGAGTCTCGGATAACGAAGGGAAAGTCCACTGACGAATTCACTTTCGGGGAAAACTGGGGGGCACGCGGTTATTGGATTTGAACTTGAGCGACGAGCTCAGACGGGGGGACCCGAGAACTACGAACGAGAAGGCATCTGTGAATACCCTCTATTTCGTGCCACCGTAATCGTACGTACGTCTACATTGTGCCTGACCATACGCAAGGCAAGAAGCCCCTCTCGTGGGGTACGCACGACCTCCACAGAAGAGGAGAGAAGCCTCCTGCTATCATATAGAGGAGCGACCGGTTGCCACGCCGGTCCAGTCCTCCGTAAAGCGTCCTCCACGTGAAACGTTGGTCCGGCAGTGTGTCGTGTCTTCTTCTGTCACAAAGACGGGAGAAGAGACGCGGCTTCCGTTCGATGCAGATGTGCGCGCGTGGCAGTCCGAATCTCGGTCGTGATCAGGAGAGTTGAACGCCCGACTACGCGCGTCGCGTGTTCAGCCGCATAGTGCGGATTATTTATTTCTGCGCGTTAGTGTTCGTCAGTTTCTGCTTGACCCTCGGTGTCTTGAATCATTAATTTAACGCAATACGGTAAGTCGCGTTGATCTGCATTTTTCTCGCTCTCGAGAAAAATGAATCGGAAGCACAGTATCGTAAAAAATCGCACTGCTCGTCGAAACGCACCCCATCAATTTAAAGAGTCGTGTTTGAAGGATGTCGACGTATATCTAGATCTTTCTTACAAATTATGTTTTAATTATATATGTATAGCGATAGGTTTACCGATAGCCATGTGACTGTATGGAATTGTCGCTTCAACGAAGCGCTATCATTCGTTTACCATAACATACGCGCGGTGTTTCGTTTGTATTTAGCGCTATCTGTTATTTGTGACGTTATATTTTTAGACAGAGCTTCTATCAGTTATTTTATCAATTCGCACGGTGTCGTCGCCCAAGACAGTCGCTCTTACAAAAGTCCGAATGTTCACTTAACGAAATGAAATAATTCTCAACTAACAGCGTATCTTCTTTCGAGAAGTATCTAAAGGCCTACTCTACTTCTCTGTTACAATGACGATATTGAATATTTTATGTCAAATCTTTACAATATTTTTTTACATTATTTCGATAATGCCTGACTAAGGCCAATATTATATTTGTCGTACGACAAACTTTTCAAGCGGGTTGATTGGCTGTTAAATAGAAACTTTCTAGATACTCGAGAATTTTACAATCAACACACTTAAAAAAATTTGTCGTTCGACAAATGTAATATTAGCCTTACACTCTCGATTATTACCTTAAGTATGATGTAGGATTCCGCTTGCTTAAATACCCTTGAAATTCTTGGATGTCTCTAACGATCTCCGCTATAGAAATCCGAAGAACACATGTCGCAACGGAAAAGTTAAATGTAATTTAACTGTTCTGTTAGCATGCAAAAGAATTTTCATACGTTCTGTTATTTCGCCAATATCACGTGCGTTGCGATATATTTGAGAACATTCACTTGCACACATCTCGAGCTTTAATTTCGCACAATCGTGACTTTAAACGTATACAGTTGTTCAATATTTATTGTTGGAAGAATATCTTCAAATGTATCAATAATATGCAAATTAGCTATCTGTAATATCTAAATAATAAAATAAACAATAGAAATGTATTAGAAAATTTAATCGATACTTGTTTCTGTTTTAACCAGTAGTAATATTTTAATCTTCAGTATTCCGCTTTGAACTTTTACTGGTAGACAGAGCAGTTCCATTAAAAATTATTTTTCATTATTAATTTAATAATTATTATTATTTAAAATCTTTCTGGAGATTTATACATTATATTAAATACATTCTAAAAGTTAGCAGTTACATATATGTCAGAGTTATGTGTGTGACTTGACATATTTGATATTTTATATGAAAGATCATAGATTGATAAGTAAAATGGACAGTCCGTATTTTAATAATTAATAATAATCAACGTTCTACGAATTTATTTATGAATCCAACGATATTCTATTTATGGTCCCGACAATTGTCTTGATATTTAAAGTTGCTTTCATTATCAAGGAAAGACGAAAAACATTGCGATAAAGTCGCTCGAAACAATGAAGCTAATTTTTGCAATAGCGAAACAATGTTTATTAACATAATTGCGAATAACAGCTGCATCTTGTGCCGCAACGATGCAGGTACGTTGCGTCAAGGTGTGCTAAATTTATGTACTACGACACATATATTGTGTTGTAAGATGCGTTAGAAATTTCGACATTACCAATATCGGCAATTTCTCACTTGAGACGTTAAACGCTGTTTTACACGCGTCCATGGCGATTAAACGAGACACATCTCCTGCAGAAGGTTTTTATGAACGTAGAAAATCATTATATAGCGTGTGTCCAATTTTATATATTAAAATATCTACCTATTAATAAAATAAGAAAATACGGATGTATCAAGTTCGAACGGTGTTAAAAACCAAAACAGATTTTATGATATTATCTTAACGAAAAATCCAATTTTAGATCACTTTCATAGTTAAAAATCCATTGCCATTTTGTTCGAAGAAAAATCTCGTCGCACGTTGACCAATCGGTCATTAAAATGCGCCAGAAGTGGGACATTCTATACGCGTATTATCTTACCATTATCATTACTTTGTCGTAAGAAATTGCAAAGTCTCAGTGAGACTCGACAGTTCAAGCTGAACTCTCATTATCAGTAAAAAAAAAATAACCTGGACTCTTTTCGATAATTTTCCACTTCTAAAAATTGTTTGTGAAATATCTGTGATTGTATCTCCATAAAAGATAAGATATAACGTCATGGAATAGGAGCAATTATTTGTACAGTTAAAGATTGTAAAGGCAAGAGATGAATAACTTTATATAAATGAAAAAAAATGGTCAACACTATTTTGTTACATGTAAAATACACTACTACAATGCTTTAAGAGAAGCAAATTTTAGTTTTACAAGCCGTTTTCATATTTATTACGTAAGACACGGATGCATATCTTTTAAATCTATTCGGCTATTTTCGTCGAGTTATTATCTCTGCCTTGAAGTATTATCTCTGCAATCTCAGATTTCGTAAAACGCTACATGTAATGAGATTTGTTCGTTACACATACCGGGTCTTTCTGAATCAGGTTTTCTTTCTTACAGATCGAATATGCTAATCTGGAACGTGTTACTTTTTCTGCTCCAGCTGGTTGTTTATAACAGTCGATCGGGTGAGCGATACTTTTCACGATTAATATTAATTTCGCACTGGCCTTGCGACGTTTTCACTGTTATTGTATTTCCATATATGCTCGAGTCATAGTTCTCTACGAGGGGGAAACCGCTGACTAAAATCTTGTACACCAATGCCCACTAAGGGTTTACCCCTCGATTTTTATGTATGCGTATCTTACCTACACTGAAAACAAAATTCTGGTAGAAAATGGACGAACCAGAATTCCCTTTAGGATTTACCAGATTTGTAGTAAAGTCTACCAAACTTCTGGTTATGAAATATCTTTCATGGTAAATCCTAAAGGAATTCTGGTAAATCCTAAAGAAATTCTGGTAAATCCTAAAGGGAATTCTGATTCGTCCATTTTCTAACAGACGACTGGTTGAATCTACCAGATTTTTTTTTCAGTGTAGGAATACGTTCAGATTGAAATAAGAGCAGGTTTTATTTTAATCGGCATTTTTTTGTCGGATTTTAGAAACAATAATAACGGCGTACAATGACTTCGGTCTATCGCCGATCGATCCGAAAATCGCCGACGTCGTCGACTGGAAGGGCCACGCGTGTCGGCGTACATGTAAGGATGATGCGGCGCCTCTGGACTGCTACTACACCTTCAAACTGGAGGCTTATTACACAATGAGCAAGGCCTGTTACAACTGCCCCTTCAATATTACAGACTGCTTTCGGTCTCATTGCGTCCCAGCTGATGGCATAAAGCGATCGCTCATGGTTGTGAATCGGCAAATGCCAGGTCCGTCGATCGAGGCGAGTGATATTGAAAAAATTAATTCCGTAGTTGTTAAATTTTTTTCTCGTGTCTCTGCTTCCTTTACTTCGATATCAGTTCGTATCAGTTTTATTCAGCGGGAAGAGAGTCTTTTTTTTTCTTTACAAGTTTGCGAGGTGTTAACAGGAGGTGAATAGACATGGGCGAATTTGAATGATCTCATTAAATTGGAAGGGAAAGGTTGCTACAAGCCTCATTGCATATCCGCTTATTATCTCTTTTTCGATCCTTTGCATTTTTTAAGTTTCGCGAGTGTAAAGGGAAATCTTTTGAAAATGATCCACGTGCAAGTTTTTATTCTATCTAATAGGTATTTTTTTAGACGGCTAATTAGTAGTTTCTTAGACGGCAAGATTTTTTTAGTTCATGACTCACCGCCTCCGCAATCTTTCGCAGAGCCTAATTGCCGCTCGCCAATGCCTCCTCATTATGCAATGATATCACGAGAGTAGCGCGGTGGGATTCACATTGCAAAGATTCTATTTCCTACAATTTAAATACGCTTTGAGATCTTGCGATGATTGTTTAACGAGTACTCCAAGGAATTATCCGCGCGACGATTATTTTGTTTGTTCACGCGGACACGCATCCGTTCGTTTCCTACCTCCAGATTTCGCTTGCAGCTCCATCATTGTTATTAGATACGCATGTAGAATTGTTCGCGGTGTCCGGGAATACATATACCGTAATTCAGTCACGCGGGTATCGCTTCGTTTTAATTACAGGCGACAGGTGATCGCCGATAACGATGTCCGGTCTGCGATCTCATTTCAGCGAGATCTGCGATTGATAAGCGGCCGCCGCGAGCCAGACCGCAAATCGAGCGCGATGAGAACGTTTTCAGGGGATTTACTTTAATTTCAGGTGTGCCAAGGCGACAGGATACTAGTTGATATGATCAACTTATTGCACGCGGAGAGCACGACGATGCACTGGCACGGTCAGCATCATTTTAACACACCGTACATGGACGGTGTACCCTACGTGTCGCAGTGTCCTATCCATCCTGGAATGAGCTTCCGATACAATTACATCGCCACTGAAGCCGGCACGCACTTCTGGCACTCTCATTTAGGTACGCTAGATCCGCTCCAAATACTCGCACCTGACATTACCTGCGGAAAGTTTGGGAGAAAATTGCAATTGTCTCAACGAATTCCCTTAATCTATCATAATTTATTAATATGCGTAAGGCTCAGCTGTGTTAGACACAAATTCGAAGGAACAAGAAGGCTGTGAGCCGTGACAGGGTGTTCCCAGCGAGATATGACTCGTCGTTCGACGAATCATTTCTCACTGGGTTAGCGTCGAAATAATTTATCATAAAATTGCGGAAAATATTACCTGAGCCCGGCTGATTATATTCCCTCATAATATTCCTCCGTAACGTTCCTTCATAATTTATTGACAGCCGTAAATGTTATGGCGAATGACTCGTTTCCTGGAGTCCGGTCGTTTATAGTATTTTATATTGCACATCTTTGCAGGATTTCAGAGAGGTGACGGCGTGTTCGGCCCATTAATCGTTCGTGTACCCCCTAAAATGGACTGGCACAGGGATCTGTATGACTACGATGAGTTTACGTTAGTAGTCGCCGATTGGATTCACGAGCTGGGTCTCACCAAGTTCCTAGCGCACTATCACGGAGACGGTAATAACAAAGCGCCGAACTTACTCGTAAACGGCCTGGGCCGTTTCATCGCCATTAAGAATGAAAATGAGACGCTGGCCGATATGCCTATCACGACGTTCGTCGTGAAACCGGTAAGTTTTCGAGGAGAAAGTATTCGTAACATCAAAGGTTGACAGGTGCCCGCAAGATGATTCCCACTGTGCCTATTCAGGTCTATTTCGAATTGGTCTCCGATTTTAGAATGAAGATTAAAAATTATTACTTGTAACGCTCTCAAACATCGTTAGTTTTGTCAAATGTATATTTATATAAGAAAAAGATAAAGTATTGTCGTTAAAGACAAATTAAAAAAAAGAGGTATTTTATTTTGTAAAATCATCTGAAATATTTTCAACGTTGTTCAAAATACACGCGTAGTCAGTGTAACTTTATTTTAAATAGAATAGCTATATTTTTGTTTAATCAGAATCGGATTTTTACTCTTCGTTTGCTTGCAGAGTTTTCGATACAGATTCAGGCTTATAAATGCGGAGTTCCTGAATTGTCCTATAGAAGTTTCTGTCGACAACCATACTTTATACGTAGTCAGTTCGGACGGACGTGATATTGACCCGGTACAAGGTACGATTTCACCTTTATGCCGCTACTTACTAACAGAATCGTTTATGAAAAGTGTCAGTTTTTTTATATACATTGTTACGTAACGATTGCAGCTGAATCGTTGGTGAGTTACGCTGGCGAAAGGTTCGATTTTATAATTGAGATGGACCAACCGGTGGACAATTACTGGATGAGATTTCGAGGACTGATGGATTGCGACGAGAGATTTTTGAGCGCCTATCAAGTCGCAATATTGCGATACGAGGGCGCGCCCGAGGAGGAACCGCTGGTAGAAGTTTCATACAACCGCACAAGAAATGACTCCTATGGACTGGTACTGATATTTCATTCCTTACAATATCTCTTAAAGCTTCTGAGAAATTAGATTTTAATTAAAAAAACAACCAATTTCAGCAAGTGAACGCTCTGAACGAAGGAACTGAAGCGAATAACAGCATCAGCATGCCACTGTTAAATGCGATGGACAACGATGACGTTTCGAACACTAGAGAACCTGATTATCAATTTTACATATCCTACGATTTTTACGGGAAGGACAATCCATACATTCACCGCAAGGATTTGTATGGCTTCCATCAAGGTACGTATATTCAAATGTTTAAAAAAATAAAAGAAAGATAATTTTCAATGTCTATTACATAAATGTGATAAAGCATCTTTTAACAAGTTTAATTGTTGGAAAATATTTCACTAAGTATGTCACTAAATTACTCTTTTTTTTCGCTGTACACGTTGTTTGTCGTTTCATAAAACGTTTCGATCGTGAAATTTTAGTGAAACACCAAGTGTACACGCCGCAATTGAACCACATAACATTTAAGCTACCGTCGTTTCCACTCCTACCCGGAAGACACCTTATTGAGCCGGATCAGTTTTGCAATTCCAGCACGGTTAAGGGATGCGAGAAGGAATATTGCGCTTGCACGCACGTGCTTCAGGTTAAAACCAACAGCGTAGTGGAACTGGTTCTGGTTGATGAAGGTTGGCAGACAATAAGCACCTCATTCGTATCTCTAATTATTTAAACTCCGTCTAAGTCCGTAATGATCCTTGCCAGGTTTTACGTACGACGCAAATCATCCGTTTCACCTTCACGGCTATCAGTTCCGCGTGGTGGCTATGGAGAGGGTAGGACGTAACATTACCGCCGCTAAAGTAAGAGAACTAGATCGGCAAGGTTTGATACACAGAAAGCTCAAACGGGCACCTCTGAAGGATACGGTAACCGTGCCCGACGGTGGTTACACTATTGTACGATTTCATGCCGATAATCCAGGTAGGACTTTACAGCATTCATACGTAACATTCATTATGAAGTAGTAAAAAAATGAAAAGGGCAAGGCATCGATACCGGCGTCAAGTGGACCGAAAAATAATCGAACTGATCGATATTCTCCAGGATACTGGCTGTTCCACTGCCACATCGAGTTTCACGCGGAGATAGGAATGTCGCTGGTCTTCAAGGTGGGCGAGGACGACGAGATGCCGCCTGTTCCTGATAATTTTCCTAAATGCGGTGACTGGCAATCGACGGATGGTGAGAATGAGGACAGGTCGGAGACCATGAAAATTTCGACGAACACAACCGAAAAAAAGCAATCGAGGAACAGCGAGCGTCTCGCTGGCATGATAAAGCAATTCGCTGTATATACGGTGTATTTTGAGGAACTCTTGAGGATATCGACATCCTCGGCGTCCAGTTCGAGTGTAACGCTGCTGCTTTTTATCGCTTGCCTTTTGAGTTCTGCGATCCGTGCGCGCACGTTTTAAGACATGCGTCTACGTAAATAGCCCTGAGGTCACGTTATGGAAAAGCTTTACAGCAGATCTACTTTGACGTGATTACAAATTTACCGGCGGGCGTTTTCTTCTCTTTCGCCTTATTTTAAACAAATATGTGACAATCGTTGCACGCGATATGCGTAAAAACATGATCATAAATGGAAGTAGTCGCGTGCCAATAAGTTAATAGACGAGCGTTTAGTCGTAGCTGAATATTACGAAGTATTAATATTTATAGGAAGCATTCGTCCACGTTTCATGATCGCTGCACTGAAAAAAATTTCTGGTTGAATACGGACGAATCAGATAATTCCTTTAGGATTTACCAGAATTCCTTTAGGATTTACCAGAATTCCTTTAGGATTTACCAGAATTTCTGTAGGATTACAGGAATTCTGGTAAATCCTAAAGGAATTATCTGATTCGTCCATATTCAACCAGAAATTTTTTCAGTGTGGTGATAGGCAGAACCATGCGAAACCAACCTCAGACAGTAGACATTTTTTAAATATACTTTACGATCATATTGCGTATTTATCTCCGACGAGCGAGCGAGCGTTAATGAGTGACTTACATTTCTGTGATATAAAAATAGATTACAATTATGCTATAACGGCGAGATTGCCAGCTACGCTATCCGATAATGTATACGCAGTGTTTTAATTTAACTTTTATTAATTTCAATGACGAATCGATTTTACTTGCATAACGGAATCGATGCAGCCTTGGCGAGGAAAATGTCGGGCGACAATAATACAACATTCGATTCAGGAAAGAACTTGCGAACTAAGCTTTAGAGGGAAGAAATAGATACCGAAATTAGCTTTAGCTAGATGATTTTTTTTAACAGAATTAGAAACTCTACTTATAAAAATATATGTATAATGTTGATGCCGCTGTGCACTTTCTTTGAAGAGAAGTTGATCAAACTTCTACATTAATAGACCAAAGAATCTGTTATTAAAATATAATCCAATAAAAAAAAACAGGACCATCTTGACACATACATTACTGCAATTACAACCATATTGTACATATTGCATTTACTCTAATCAATAGATTCATAAGCGCGTTATCTGCTGTATGAGTGTTTCTTTACTTTAGATATGTGTATGTGTACTTTTACTAAGAAATTTGTATCATTATCTTAAATATAGGACATCCTTGAAGCTCACTTCACGAAAAATCGTTTACTTGATTAAAAATTTACTGACACTTTAATTTAAGAAAAAAAGAGATCAAGTTGTCACTTATGGCATATTTTGTAATATTTATACGAATACTTGCAAAATGTATTTGCAGTCGTAGCTGTAATATATGTAAACATGTGCACAGAAATCCATTCACCCGAATTTGAGAATCGATCGCGCTTATCACGCGATCTCGAGTACGCAAACGATTCCGAACAATATCTTGAAATAAATTCTCACGCGAGATCAAGTCATGATACAATTACTATTCACTTAGGATACCTGCAAAGCTTCTCATTGCGGTTATTGTGTGTTTTATCTCTTCTGCACTGTGTCTCCGCAAACGTATATACAATGCGATATGTGTAACGTGCGTCTGTATCTGTTGTACGCATTTACCGGAGACTTGTCCGGACACACCAGTCGGGTATTCCCCGCAATCCCGTAGCTCCACCACGCCACAATCGCACAGTATCATCCGTTTTAGCGAAATCTATGTCATTATCCGGACACATTGACAACAGCCAGCCTGCTATTTTTGCTATCGTATTTTCTTCTGCCATCGTATCCTTTTAAGGATACGTTAACAATAATATTCGGGAGTATGTCGTGCAATGCTGGAGGACGCTGCCACTTCTGCTGCAAGAAACATACCGTGTCGGTATTCGGCGGCGACGAGGTGGCTTATGCGCTTCTACAAAAATTGAATTTGAGACTTGTGGTAAGCACATATAGAGTCGCCTATTATAAGAGATGCTTCTAATATGAGATAGCGGGGCTTCTGTTAAATTAATGGGCATCGTCTGTTGGTTCCACCGTGAATTTATTACCCTTGGGGTGAGATCTGCTTAGTGGAAAATTCATTGTTAAGTCGCGCGTGTAATTGTTACGTAAAAAGATTTGCGAAATTGTACGTCGAAAACTCGCTACTTCATAGTAGGAGCCTGTCACATGACAGAAGAGTTTCTTCTAACATTACACCGCATATAGACTGCAAGCGAATGTCGTGCCACATCGACCGATCTACAAGGCCTAATATCGGTTTGCGGCTTTCAGAGTTTGGAATCGAAATCTTTTATATCACGTCTAAACGAATAATAATTAGAAAAATGTATATACTGGATAGCAGAAGTGCGTACTGTTCGTAATCTCGAGGTTCAATTATAAATTTAGGCTGCGTTCCGTTATTCACCGCCAGTACTAAAAATCTATAACTTACGTCACGTATACTATACATATTCAATACTGGCAGTGGATGTCGGAACGCAGCCTTAGACGCCAGACAAAGTGATAAATATAAAGGAATAGAATCAATTATCTCTGTTATAGAAAAGATGTTCAGCGACTGTTATCTCCTTTAGGATACAAATAAATGTTACAATAGATGAAATATATATTGTGTAACAGGGAAATTTTTATTGGGCTATTACGACTCTTGTAACATTTATTGTAATTATATATTTATTATTGTAACATTTGAAAAACAACTTGGAAATTAGATCACATTGTAATTATCTTTAGAAATCATGAAGAAATGTGTTGCGCTAATTGAAACATATTTTGCAAAGTATTTAGAAAAATCGGCGGACAAAATTATATGCTCGTTTATTTTAACCTTATCGCATCTTACGCGTAAACTTTTATACTTTATGTTCACGATATCAAATTTTATATCGCATTAATAGACATTAGGGGATAATTATTTAATGCTCTGCCTTTGTCTGCATTTAGGTTTTCAACACAATTTGTTCTCCCTGCATTGTTAAACTCGAAGATATTCTCAGAAGGGATCTTCTCGATGTGCGTTCACCTCTCGAGGGAACAACCTCGAAGGAAACTCACATCGAGATTCCAGCAGAATTTACCCGCCCGAGTACCGATAATTTGGAGACAACGGAAAAGTCGCGGGTCGTCAACGAAATTTCAAATTTTCCACCTGGGGAAACCATGGTGACCGACGCCGAGGTCAAGGGAAGCGTCGATTCTATCGGTGCAGAAAATAAAGCCGGTACCAACGATTCGGAAGCTCGCGTAAATACGGAAAATGTCAGGAAGAGACAGTTAACGTGCGAGTTCTGTGAAAAGGCGTTCAGTCACGCGGGGGACCTCAACAAGCACAGGAGGAAGCACACTGGCGAGCAACCTTACGCGTGTACTACGTGCGAACGGAGGTTCAAGACGTCGTCCAATCTAGCCAGGCATCAACAGACACATCTCGGGATTAAGCCGTTCCGCTGCGAGATTTGCGGATGCGCTTTCACCCGAAAAGTCAAACTTTCCGCCCATTTAGTAGCAAAACATGACGGAGCTTCGAAACCTAATCAGTCGTTGACGTAACATTACGTAGTATAAATTATAGAGCGCTTTAATACAAAAGTAACAGTAATAGGCTGCAATTAAACACGAGTCAATAGAAATAAAATTGCGAAAGAAAAGAAAGATAGAATATAGTGGTATTTAACTTCAACATCATTGAAATTTAAGGCACAACATTACGTGTTAGCCTCTTAAACAATACGAGACGTACGTAGATTCCTAGAGTCGATTTGCGTTTGACTTGCTTGCGTAGGAGACAGGCTATTTTATAAATCTATATAAAAATGATTTATTCAATGATAAGTTGACAACAATATGTATATCATATATGCTATCTTTCTCGCTACATCTTTTCTGGTAAACATAAATAAAAAATGGTTTAAAACACGTTACTGATACGAGCGCAAGCGTGATAACGCCTTGGAATTGTACCGCATTAACAGAGTAAATCTGACCCAAAGGAGAATGCGTTCGCCTCACCACGAAAATATCTTATCCGCTGACAAATATACACGGCACTATACATTGGTGTGCACCTCCTGATTGCCTGGCATCAGGTAAAATGTATACGAAGCGTCCTTCTGCGGCGGCCGCTGCAGGGGATGCGCCAGGAGCTTCGCCATATTGTCGTGTATCTTGGCGGCGTTCCTGCCCACCTCGAAGATGTACGAGAAACTCGTCGTGTCCAGCGCCGCGATCTCGGCGTACACCGCCTCGCACATGTTGTCGTTGCCGGGCGGCTCGTGGGCGAACAGCACGTCCAGGAAGAAGTAGGGATTCTCCGTGAGATTCTCCAGGTACTTCTGCCCGGTGTGGAACTTGGGGACCGAGTTGGACCGCCCGTAGATGAGGATGACGCGCGAGGTGAACGTCGGCTGGCACCTCGCCGGCGTCGCCGCCCGCGCGTGTATCACCTCGAACAGCAGCCCGAGGTCGTAGGTCTTGTGCTCCTCGTCCGGCACGTCCTCCGCGACGCTCTCCAAGTGGTTGAGGACGGTCTTCGTGTTGCTGGTGTAGTCGCAGAGCCAGGAGGCGCCGCGGGAGCCCAGGCTCATCAGCGCGTACTCGTGCACGCCGGGCTGTATGGTGGACTTGGCGCCGACGAAGCTCTCCACCACGCGCTTTATCATGAACAACGGCGGATACGTCGCGCCCGTGCCGAGTTTGAAGGGCGTGCACTGCTGCTCCCTCACCGTGTCGACGACGAGGAGGATCTTCTCGGGTAGATTGAGCTCGGGCACGTTCCTCACGCGGACGTGATCGTCCGCGGTGGTCGTGGTGGCGGTCGCGGTGGCGACGGTGCCGGTGGCGACGGCACCACCAGCTTTCTTGCTGTCCGCAGCGTGACGCGTCGCATCGTTATTACCGTTCCTTCGAGAATTCTTCGCCTGCTGCTGCTGCTGTGGTTGCGCATTGTTGCACGCCGGCTCGATGGTCGCGACACTCTGAAGTCTGTCGGATATCTGCTGGACATCGTGATCGTTCGTCTCCTTGTCTGACATGTTTATATCAGCGCAAGTGTCCGCGGAGAAACCTAACCTCTCTTCGCGCCGCTCGAGATGTGCGGCTCTGCCTCGAGCAACGAATGTCCCGCGGCGCTTCGCGACAATTCGGCGGCTTCACATAGCGTGCGGATTTCGCGCAAATGATACGAGGACAATTAAAAATTGAAGCTGCGTCACGTTAAACACGCCTATCCTTCGAGACGCGATTCAAAGTGCACGCGCCACCCAGCGACTGTGGCTTGAATTGAACTGGTTCGTAACCTTAAAGCCTAGTGCAGACTGCACGCAGCAAGCGGCAAGCGTCGAGCAGCAGCCAATCAACGAAGAGATCTTTCGGAAGCGTCAGCAGTGGCGTAGAAAATATCTCTTCGTTGATTGGCTGCTGCTCGACGCTTGCCGCTTGCTGCGTGCAGTCTGTACTAGGCTTTATCTGTACTGTACCGTCTGTGTATGTACACTTTTCAACACTGAACGCTTTTCACCACGTGCGTTTGCATGGTGTTCATCGAGGTCTGTGACTTTTAATATAATTACGAGACACTGCTGACCTGAAAAATGTCCGTACCCGAGAAAGTGTTGATGAGAAAAATTAGGAAACGGGAGAAAGCAAAATTGACCGTGCTGAAACACCGGGAGGAGCAGAGAGGTAAGAGCGGTAAGAGCGAATCAACTTTGAGGTTAGATTTCTCGAAAGAGAACTATGTGGAAATATTCGCTGTGAGACAGTTATCTTTAAGACCTGGTCTACAATGAGTTGTTAGAAGTCGGAATTATATGTTGATCCTTTTTTTCTGGGTAAAAGAAAGTGGACCGACATGTAGTTCTGTCTTCTAACGGCGCATTGCAGACCAGGGGGTCAATTCTGTAGCTTACACTATAGTGAAAGTGTTAAAACTGAGCGGCTTCGTCTCTTTCTAAGGGGACGGTTAAAGAGAGACAGAGCCGCTCGCTTTTAGCACTTTCACTATAGTGTAAGATACAGAATCGACCCCCAGGCCACATATAATTATTAGCAATCGTGTATTCTTTTTAGAAAAGGGGAAGCTAAAAGCGTCCGAAGAAAATGACGAGGCACAGGTAACACCTTTGGCCACTGAGAAATCCGCGGAGAAACTTTCGGTCAGTAAGAAATCCTCAAAGAAGCCTTCGGTCACTAAGGAATTCTCGGAGGAGCCTTCGGTCACTGAGGAATCCTCGGAGAAGCCTTTGGTCACTGAGAATTGTATGTATTTCTGATATAATTCTAATTGTTAAATTATATTTGTACGCCGTTTAACAATGTATAACTTTTTGTTTAGTACCCGGCACAGCTGTTGGTTTTGAAGTGACAAACGATACAAGCTTCTCGGTATTAAGCGAGACAGTATGCGAGAACACGCTGAAGGCGATAACGGATATGGGCTTTACTAATATGACGGAGATACAAGCGAAAGCTATTCCTCCTCTTTTGGAAGGCAGAGATTTAGTTGGCGCTGCCAAAACCGGATCCGGCAAGACTCTGGCATTCCTAATTCCTGCCGTTGAACTGATTTACAAGTTGAAGTTTATGCCGCGTAACGGTATGCAATTTCAACGGCTATATAGTCAACATTGGAATAGTACTAAAGAAATTTTTTTTATTGATAAACTTTATGGCCCGTATTTTGAACTCTCTTTTTATCAATAAAAGCGCCTCTAGAAGTGGCTAATAAGCCTTCCGACTTACTTTCATTCTTATCTCTTAAAGCAATATAGAAATAAATTTGTTAAAGTTGCCCGTTAAAACTGTTTCGATCATTCTGAAAGTGCAACTATGTAAAGTCAACAGGAATGGGATACAACAAATAGATACTTGCAGGTACCGGGTGCATCATTATGTCCCCCACGAGAGAACTAGCTATGCAAACTTTTGGAGTCTTGAAGGAATTGATGAAGTACCATTATCATACGTACGGTCTGCTGATGGGCGGCGCCAGCAGGCAGACCGAAGCGCAGAAGCTCGAGAAGGGAATCAATATTATCGTGGCGACACCGGGGCGACTATTAGATCACTTGCAGAACACGCCTGATTTCTTATACAAGAATCTCCAGTGTCTGATTATTGACGAGGCCGACCGTATTCTGGACATCGGCTACGAAGAGGAATTGAAGCAAATCATTAACATTCTTCCTAGTTAGTGATATCTCACTAGATCAAATTACACGCTTCCTCCTATTATTGTGTGAATTATCGTTGCAGAGCGCCGGCAGACCATGCTTTTCAGCGCGACGCAGACGCAGAAGGTGGCGATGATAACGACGTTAGCCCTAAAAAAGGAGCCTATATACGTGGGGGTCGACGACGACAAGGAAATGGCGACCGTGGAGGGCTTGCAACAAGGCTACGTAACGTGCCCGAGCGAGAAAAGATTTCTACTTTTATTCACCTTCCTAAAGAAGAACAAGCAGAAGAAGATAATGGTTTTCTTCAGCTCCTGCATGTCCGTTAAATATCATCACGAGCTCTTGAACTATATCGATTTACCGGTGATGAGTATTCATGTAAGTCATCGGATTTCTATACCATTTGTGATAACGAGATTCTCTCCGATTTTAATGCTCGCGTTCTCTTCGACAGGGTAAACAGAAACAAACGAAAAGAACCACGACCTTTTATCAATTTTGCAACGCCTCCTCCGGGACTTTACTTTGCACTGACGTGGCCGCAAGAGGTCTAGACATACCGGACGTTGATTGGATCGTGCAATTTGATCCGCCGGACGATCCCAAGGTGAGAATATTGAAACGTACATGCGATATTTTTCCTTGCAGATTGTCATTAAAATAAAAGATGGCAGTGTGCAACAACGTGGGCTTGATTGGTGAACGCGGATTCGTAATATCGGTTTAGATTAAAATCATTTTAGGAATATATCCATCGCGTGGGTCGAACAGCTCGCGGAGAAGGCAGCAGCGGTCATGCTTTGTTAATACTGCGACCGGAGGAACTTGGCTTTCTTCGTTATCTCAAAGTAGCTCGCGTACCAGTGAACGAATATGAATTTTCTTGGAATAAAATCGCTGATATACAATTACAGGTATGTAACGACATACAATTATATATTGCAATTTTACCTTTAGCTTGTTTCTTTTCAAATTATTTTCTACGCAGACTTTGAGATCTCAATAAATTTAAGCTTAAAAATTTTGAAAGACGCAGAGTGACATTTATGCGTCATTTAATAGAGAAATCGAAACTAATAATTCTACCAATTTAACATCTCTTCATCTCTATTGTATAATACTATCGTCTCTTCTTTTAGCTCGAGAAATTGATCTCGAAAAATTACTTCTTACATCAGTCGGCGAAAGAGGCGTATAAGAATTACGTTAGAGCGTATGACTCTCATCACTTGAAACACGTTTTCGATGTAGAGACTCTGGACCTGGCGAAAGTTGCCAAATCGTTCGGATTTATCGTACCACCGGCGGTAGATTTGAGTAAGTCCTTTTGAAAACAAATTTAAAACATTAAGTGCAACAATATTTTCTTTCAAAACTGTAATGTCTTCGAATCTTACTCACTAGCAATTCTTTTAATAACTCAGAAACGAAGCGATTCATTTTTTTACATTATTTTTTATTTTAAATATAGATATTGAATTTATTAAAATCAGTTTGATATTGCTTCAATCTGTTCTGATTATTCTTTTTTATTGGCGTTAGTCCAAAGGCGTAGTGTTTTATGGTTTAAATTGTATATAGAAATTTGACAACAGCATAAACCTGTTCAGTCAATCTAATGTTGAACATCGTTTTTCTTACTTTTCAATTGCGCATGATAGAAGTGGGAATCAGCAAGGCTTCACGACCACGAAAGAGGCTCGGTGGAGGCGGTTACGGGCACTTTAAAAACATGAACGATCCAAATTCGGCAAGGCAGGTGAAGCGTGCTAGAACCTTTCGCCTAGTCGGCAAACATAAGCAAGACAACCGGCAATTTAGCAGATAATTGTCGTCCATGCACTTTTTACACACGTGGATAACAGACAGCGATATCTAGATAATGATAGCTAACATTGTACAGATATGCATTTACGCAAGTTCAAAAATACACTACTATTTATATTACTCGATATTATTCTTGACATTCATGTATCTGATTTCTATCTGATTTTTATTTAAAGTAATTTCAATATTTTTTTAAACGTTTGAAGTTTTGATTTGCATCATCTCTTCAGAGAGATACACTCGATAATTCGTCACTTATGAGAATTAAAATTTTGCGTTTGCAAATAAATTTTGGAAATTCTTTGAATTGCAATCCTTGAAATTCCAAATAATGTCACTTGTATTCCTTTTGTATTATCCTTTATCCCGGTATTTTTTAATTTTTTTTAAGAGTCCGATATTCGCGGTTCCAGCAAGATTGCGGACCGGGAGCGATCACGTGCACGATCGAATTCGATCGGTCGACATCTCATACGTTTCTACTCTACAGGTTTCATGGTTCATGCTTATAAGGCTGGGTCTACATAGGATGTCGTAAGTCGTGTCGGAAAAAATTGACCAATCACAGTTCATATTCTCCTTACGGTCGAAGAATAATGAACTGTGATTGGTCAATTTCTTCCGATACGACTTACTACATCCTATGTAGACCCAGCCTTAAGCCTTGTGTCATTCAGGTTTTTGGCGAAAAGATGAACCAACAAACGTTTTAATTACAATATTTGTGACTGCCAAACGATTGCGCATCGAATGGGCACCTTTTGAAGTCAAATTGGTTGAAAAAAAAATTTGTCTGGCTAACCTCACACCCAAATTTTGTTTTTTATTTTACAAAAAAACGGCTAATCACCAAACGATTTAACTAGGCTATCAATGACCTCCAAACGACCACCAAACGATTTCAATAATAAAAAATTAAAAAAGTCGAAGTTGGCGGGTCAACTTCACGGAGGTCAAACGATCACGTGATGTGATACCAGGGAAATCACATGATTCTAATTTCCTTCAAAGTACGTATGTGTATGTATGGACGCCCATGTAGGTATATATACGTAGCAGGTCACATCGGTCACATTCACGTAGGGCTGCCATCTGTAATTTTACTGGCCTAGGACAGAAAGGTTTAAATACAGACTTCTAATATAAGTCTGTGGGTTTAAAATCCCGGAATTTTCTGTCTGAAATCCGGACACCCGTAATTCATAATGTTAAATTATTGCAACTGCTGATAAAACGATAAAACAGAATCTTTTATTAATTATTTATTATTCCCCCGGACGTTAACGAAACTAGGCCAGGGAAAACCAGACGGATGGTAGCCCTACATTCACGCAACGAAAAAAACAAAAGCCGATGGTGATTCTCACATCAAGTCCCGACTGTCCCGAGTTCAGAAATCAGAACAGTTCAGAAGTGTTCGGAAGGTCGAGCCGAGCTGCTTTTTGTGAGTCGTTCTCTGTGGCGATCGTCGCAAGTTAACCAAGTAAGCTTCAAGCTTTTGACGTTTTCCGTTTGCGAGAAGATATGACTTGGCGATCGATCTCGCGAATAATCCATCTTTTGGTCGATCGAGGCGGCAAGTACCTATCGCTTTGCCGCGTCATCGCTCTGCCGATTTGCGTCATATATAAATCGCTTCTTCGCGGGCACATGTTACGATTGAGACCGCAGAGATGTGGAATTGTTAGTCAATAATCCGTGCTTTCCAGCAAGCGACACAAGTCGACACAAGTGTCGTTCTGTCTTTATTATTCATTGAATGCGAAGAAAGACAGAACGACATTTGTGTCGACTTGTGTCGCTTGCTGGAAAGCACGGATTGTTTGTAACTACTGATTGAACGCCGTGATAGTTGACTCGTTTAAGAACTAGTCAAGTCGCCATATTGCTTGCGTTCAGCAGTAAGTGCGAACTTAATTTACGCTTTACGTTGCGCTTCCGACAGTTTGGCACCCGTTGCAAGATCTTTTGCTGAACGGCATAGCGGTTTACGCTATTCCAACATGTTGAGCGATTGCTACTTTTCAATATTCAACACGCTGGACTATTTTTTTAAGAGGTTACTTTGCAGCGAGGAGCGGTAAGGGGGGCTGTTTATGCTTACAAGGGCAAAGGAAATAAAGATGAGCTGCGATCGCCGCTCGCCTCTTTCCCCTCTCCCCTCTCCCCTATCGTATTGTGTGTTTTCGTATCTGTATTTTGTATTATACCTTTTATATGAGACGGTAAAACATTTTATTTTTGTAGCTTTTCATAAAAGATTGTTCTAAAATGAATTGCGACAAAAACTATTCCTCTAGATTTACTAGTATAGTCCAATCAATGCAAAGAGCCCACCGAACCCAATTTTACAATTATATCTCTTTGTTTCAGGATGCTATCTATTAAATAAATAATATATACCATCTGCCATTTGGGTCGTCTAATAATCCTTTCTATTCTTGTTAATTATATACTGGCGATAATAAACTTTATTTCTGCTCTTTATTTTACTTTGGCAATCATTTGTATCCATAGAACTTATAAATAATCATGTAATGCAAGATCCTAACTTTAAAATCATATTTCTAAAAAATTAAGGCTCAGGTTCACCAAACGTCGCTTAACTTTAATTCTAGTTTAATTTATGTTTGTCTCTCTTTAAAGTAACAGTTTGAAAAAGACAAAGAAAGTGGTCAAATCACTTGAAACTCAAAACTGCCAGTGCATTATTCTGCCAATGATGTTTTGCATTGCGTGTGACTCTTATTGTTAATTATAAGTCACCAACCTCCTTGAACGTGTTGGAGAAGCGTAAATCACCGAGTGTCGGTCAACGAAAAGTCAACGGCGTAGCGCAAAGCGCTTAATAAGCGGCTATTTCTTTTCTTTCTTTTCCCATTATGATTATGCTCCTGCGGATGTACTGCCACGTTTTCAAGACTGTAATTATAGGCAATATGAACTGAAGGGAGCTTTTCAATGTAAGATCCCTCCTTTTCTAGTCACACTTAAATTTTGTACTTGCGAGATGGAGAGGGAGAAAGATGGAATGAAAATGCAAAAGAACAATTATAATTAACATTGTCTTTCTTTGATACTATCTTCCATTCTCTTTTTCGAAATTCAAGTGATTAACGACACAGTAATAAAAGTAACAACATACAGCCCAGATAGCAATGCGTGTCTAAAAGACAACTTAGTGCCGTCTTGAAGATGTCTTTTAGACATGCATGCTATCTGGGAGTGTAAAGAGATTGAGTTTGAAATTTTTTAACTACTTATCTTTTTACCAGAATGCCTTACTACGCAGTGGCCAACGGTCGTACAACCGGAGTTTTCGACAATTGGTAAGAATATAATGAGACGATATTGAAACAGTGGTACTTCTGAACAAAAGTATAAACAAATACTTTCTGTTACAAGGGAGGACTGCAAGGACCAGGTTCACGGATATTCTTATAACAATTATAAGAAGTTCGATACCCCGGACCAAGCTTGGGACTTTGTTGACCAGCATTCTTCAAAAGGAAAACTGGAGCAATCATTTAGTGACGACAGTAAACAAGTAGCTTGTCGAAATAATAATCAAGTTGCACTCCAGGGTGAAGCTAGCGGCTATCGACGCACCGATTGCACGGTATTGAATAGAAACTGTCTTGGAAAGTGCCAAAGGCACATATATATATATTTTTTTTCTTAACGTTGCATAAGACTCGATGATTCCTACATATATTGATTATATATTTTATTTCAATAGTGCGACACAAAATATATTTCTTATATTTCATGTTTCAATTATAGAAAGACATTTTTCAAATTTTCTGGCATGTTTAAGCATTCTTAAACGTTACTTTCTTTCATTTTTTCATACTTTGATGATGATTTCTGTGATTTGTAGCAAGGAAAAAATGGCGTCATCATACGTGAACGTTCTTATACGAGTGGCAGGGCTGGAAGCGGATATTTTGTTGAGAAATATACGCGCACATACTGGAAAAACAACTAACGAGATGCCCGAGGAAAATCTTTGCTTCTTTACGTACTGAAGAGATTACCATATAAAGTAACCCCATGAACATTTCAAAGAAATACTTGTTATATAATCATTAAATAATAATCGGTTAAAACGCATTTATTTTTAGTTTTATATATTATTTAAGTTGATTGATCTTGGTACATTTTTCTGGTTATTGGGGTACACTTCGCATGTCATTAATAAATAAATAAATACTGCTCTTTATTCAACTTGTACTTATTTTATAGTCTGAATCGTGATATCTTATTTTATTTAAAAAATTATGAGGAAGTGTGAACAAGTTGATCGTTTCCACTTTAGAAAATTGCGCTTTGTTTTTGGAAGTTATTGTTTGAAGGCCATCCTTGTTTTCTCTCGGGAATCACGCTTCTCCTTAGATTTCTTGATACGATTGGCTGGATCTAAAAACATTAACCAATCATACTGAGCGCTCACTCAACTGTTGTGTCTGCTGAACGCGGCCATTTTCACTATATTATAAAATACAGAACCCTCGGGGAAACACCGCCGTTAAATGAGCGCTTAAGCTTTTGTGTTTAATTGGTTAAAATTTTTAGATCTAAAAGAATACACCAATCAGTTGCGAGAGCTCACTGGACGCTCAGTGAGCGATGTTTTCTGAACGTAGCCAATCGTGGGGCGCTAGTGTGTTTACCAACGATTGTAGTTGATCGTAACCTAACCTAACCTATACGCACATTTGTTGACTATATATAAACCGGTATAGACCTCGCTGGGATCATTTAGTTTATTTAAAAACTTTCTTAAATTTAGATTGGATAAAATAATTATAATATCATTTCAATTAATATACAAACATCATGTTTTATCACGTAAGTTGAATTCCTTTATACATCCTGGCGCAATCTTTCGTCAATTCAGATTCATACAAGGGAACGTAGGATTAGTCGATTTTTAATCTCTTAAATAAATCCACGCAGATCTCGTTGGAGCACGAGATTTTGTTACATCCCCGCTACTTCGGTCCCCAATTACTCGACACTGTAAAGCAGAAGCTCTATACGGAAGTGGAAGGCACCTGTACAGGAAAGTGAGTGTCGTGCTTGTGTATTTTAACAAAAGTTCTTTTACTATTTTGACATCGGAGACCTTTCACTTTGTCTACATGCTTGCTTAGATATGGCTTCGTCGTCGCGGTCACGACAATAGACAACATAGGAGCCGGTATTATACAACCGGGACAGGGTTTTGTAGTATATCCCGTCAAGTATAAAGCGATTGTGTTCAGGCCATTCAAGGGTGAAGTGCTGGATGCGATCGTGACTCAAGTGAATAAGGTACAAATAGATGCTTCTTTTTTCTAAGTGTAAAATGATCCATTAGTCTATCCGGACAAGCTGGTGTAGTGCGTAAACATATGCACAAGGCATCTGATTGAGCCATAAGTGCATGCATAAGGAAGTAGACCAATCAATTTCTTTATGCATCTGCTTACGCACCTGTGCAAATTTGTCTGGATAGACCCTTGCATCGAATATTGGTTCAAACTCGTCGAATAACTAACGTTTCATGTCTGTCCCACTTGTAGGTTGGCATGTTCGCTGAAATAGGTCCGCTTTCGTGCTTTATATCCCATCACGTGAGTGATTGTAATAATTATGAAATTAATTGCTCAAAATTAGGTTTTATTAATTGGTACGAGGTTAATATTTAAATTGAGATATATAAAGTGATACTATACGAACCTAAATTTCCCTGCAGTCAATCCCAGAGGACATGCAGTTCTGCCCGAATGTGAACCCAGCCTGTTACAAATCCAAGGAAGAAGTAAGTCGTGTTTCAAAAAACTGTATGTCGCGGCAGAAACTTCGCGATTAGAAATTTACCAAGTTGTCTTTCAGGATGTAGTTATTCAAGCGGATGACGAGATTAGATTGAAAATCGTGGGCACGAGAGTCGATGCTACGGGAATTGTTAGTATTGAATTACATTCGTGATGAAAGTCATTCTGTCTTTACATTAATTTACATATAAAATTACTTATTTTTCAGTTTGCTATTGGCACGTTAATGGATGATTACTTAGGTAATGGCAAGTTTAACGCTATCCATATGCAATGCATTAAAATGTGATATTTATAATTTTTCTCCTTTTCCAGGTCTTGTGTGCAACTAGCGTGTCTGCAGTCTGTTTGCCCGGCAAACTTCTATTAGTTTATCTAAACACAGTTTTTACATTCCGGAAACAATTCACGTGTCTTAAAATACTTCCTACTTTTTTATACAAGGAGCGGAGAATTAATCTTATGTAAAGATTGTATAAAGATATTTTGTGTATATAAAGATTATATCTTGGGCTGCGGGGAGACGCTATTAGAGCTGAAAACGTCAGTCTATCTTCGTCACTGTCGAACAAAGATAGAAAACGCTTTTAGCGCTGAAAGCGCGCTCCCCGAACGCACCTTTCATGTAAGATATTGATGATGTGGTCAATCCGACAAACAGATATGAAAATACAATGATATAAAAGTCATATTTGGATAGAACGTTAACAACTCAGACACCCTATCTCTATAATAATCAGAATCATCACTGCACAATAAATGGAAACAACTCGTAGGTTATAAATTGTGATAGATAATATTTATGAGATAAAGTACGAAATATATCTGTAAGAAACATTACTTTAATATAATCTTATGTGACATCAACAATCCATATCGCGAAGCAAATAGATGCTATACAGGGTGCTTTGCTAATTCTACTAAACAATCGGCTGATTTTTCAAATATATGTACTGTAATATAATCGTCATATTTTTTTTGTACAGAAACACTAATGTAAAATTATTCGGACATTGCCATTACTAATTAAAAAAGCAGATGTAGGTAGTTTGCAATCATGCAAAGATACTGTTTAGGTAATGTACATCTTTTTAATTCACATCTCTCTTATTTACTACCCATCATCGTCCCGTGATGATGCATCTGCAACGAAATGGATGTGCCCGCAACACTCGGAAACCATCGTGGAAAAAGCGTCCCTCTTCTATTCGTTGTGACGACTTGGGTAATTCTGACACCCGACAGTGGAGTCACTTTAATTGATGTAGTTTTACATTTTTAAGGCGGAGTTCAATTCAAGGAATCCTGATTGTTACCAAACACATTAGCAAGACCTGTGAATAGCGCTAATTTCGGTGCCATGCGCAGGTCTTCCTTCTTTGTGGCTGTGTCTTGATCGGGCATCATCTTGTCTGCAATGTGCTTGTAGATTTTCCCATCAGCGTTAACGTAAAAAGTAGAGAAGCCATCGTACCATCTAAAATAATTATATATTTTCCCCTGTTATTGTGATTAATTTTACAATAGATATTGATAGACAAAGACAATAAATACAATTGATGGAAATTTAAATTATTCTACTTTTTCCTGAAGATAAAATAAAAAACAGAACTAAAAGAGAAGTTTTTTTTCTATAAATAACAAAAAATTTAATTCAATTGAACAATGAAGTTAATTCCAGTAATTGTAATTAAAGTTTAGGATGACATTCTACATTGCTGTTAAAAAGAAATGTAGCTGATTACATTTAATGTACTTACGCTGCTTGATTAGTGTTTATGGCATCTTTTATTTTCCAAATTTTATACTTCCAAAACATAGTGAGTACCCTCCAGCCTGTGATACCTTGTATGCGCCAACGAACCTGCACGGTATCGTTTTCATGGTGTATTGTGATCTTCAAGATGTCCAATTTGACGTAAGCAAACTTGATATGACCGACGAATCTTAACAGCATCAGCTGTTTCACATAATTCATAAGTCCCCTGCAATATTTTTTAAGTGCGTACACATGAGGAAATGGAAATAACGTTAGAAATTCTCATCTGCTTTGAATACTCAATGAAATTCACTTACGTTGTCGTTACTCCTCTAATGTTGTTGACAAAAATTAAATCTTGGGTATATATCGAGAAATTCTGAGGTTTTATAAACAGCTTTGGTAACTGCAATCAGAAAATCAGAAAAAAATATTGTCCGGCACAAGAGAACCTCTTATGCTAAACAATTATGTCTCGGGAGTGTCTCAGAATTATTGTACTTTGCTTCCGCAAGCGTGCGACTGTAGATTCGGAGAATCCAAGTCGACGAAAGTGCAATAATCCCGGGACATCCTGTAAATCACACAACATACATCTTGACTAAGACAATCGACTATGGATTGCAGTTGTTCCTGCGATGGTTTACCCTCGTTTTCTCGTGGCGACGGCTGTTGCGAGCTAGTCTTTAGCGCGCTCGTGTCGTCAGACGTAAGTAAGACGTTTTGGTAAATATTTATTTCTCGACTACTGCGTAAACTTTCTAAAGAAATCACCCTACTATTATCTAGAAATGAAGTTGCTTTGTCATTTTCTGTAACGCTTTGTGTCTGAAATAGTTTAACAGAGTCCGGTGCGATTCCTATTGAGGCCACGTGTCTATTGCTTCTCAGGAGGTCGACGCCGAGCCTTTGTGGCTTGCGCAGCCTGCGCGGGTCTTCAACCCAGTACATCGTCGCGCTCTTGCTCTCATCATTGGCGTGTCGTCTGGCTGGCTTTTCACTCCGATTGCGAACGTCGAGATGAACCAACGGTAAATTCGCAGGAAACATACATCCCACAAAAGGTACCGATTTGCCTGTGGTATTTGCCCTTACAGATAATGCTCTCTGTGTACCCAAGAACTGAAAATTTACACAGAGTAAGTTGGCAGCCAAAATATGTGACTATAAGAAGATACAAGAATATAAATTAACAAATCCTATTATTTCGTCATCTGTGGGTCAATATCTTACACCGTAGCGAAAATGGTAAGAGCGAGTTAGAAAGAGACAGAACCGCTCATTTTTAGCGGCTTATTTTCACTATGATGCAAGATACAGAATTGACCCCCTGCTGTTCGTCGCCGAGGTAAATTTACGAATTGTCGCTACACATGATTTCGATAGAGAAAAACATCAACCAAGTTCGCAAACGGAAAGAAGAACGTGCGATATACTTCCGGGATATCAACAAACAATTCGACTTTTGCAACAGCGTGACGCGGCGACGTCACTGGGTCGCCCCTCGCCGTCTTTGACCGTCGACGACCCACCGGGAGCCGGGGGCTCGGGTTTCGCGCGGCGCTCGCTGCGGGAGTCGCGACGGGACGGGCGTCCGCGGTTTCGCCGGATTCTCGGCGAGTTCGAGACGTCGCTGCGAAGTCGCGCGATTATGTAACCGTTTGAAGGTTAGGATGTCGCCCGCGCCGGCATCGCGAGGCGCCTCGCCGAGGACGACGTACCTGCTTCAGGAAGGCAGACGACTCGGCCACGTTCTTCTGCAGCTGAAGACGTTCGAGCTTCGACAGCGGTTTCCGGCCACCGCCGCCGCTGACGAGCGCCGACAGCCGACCGGGTAGCGTGCGAAAGCACTGGGACATGTTGCGCGACCGCGGCTCGTCCTTTAGACCAACGACATCCTCCGCGAAGACGCACGATGTGCTACCCGCAGTCACTTGCGGTCCGCGCGCGTGCCTTACAACGCGGTCATCCTTTCCGGCTCGGGCGGGTTCTCGCGCGCTTCGCGAGATGGCGCTTCGCGGGGTAGCGCCGAGATACAAATTTTTTTAAATCACTCGAAACAATATGATATCCTCTTTTAATCGCAACTGTATAAAGTTAACGCTTTTTTAATTTGTACATATATATATTCCTTAGACCCGGGCATCAGTTCTGTATCTTACGATATAGGGAAAATGCTAAAAGTGAGCGGACTTTGTCTCTTTCGAAGGGGACGGTTAGAAAACAAAGCATTCACTTTTAGCATTTTCACCATAGTGTAAGATACAGAATCGACCCCCTGATCTACAACGAGTTGTTAGTCGTAAGGCTGGTATTACATTTGTTACACTAATGTTACATTTGTCGTACGGCAAATTTTTCAAGCGTGTTGATTGGCTGCAGGATAGAAAAGTTTTCGAGTATCTAGAAATTTTCTAGCTTGTAGCCAATTAACGCGCTTAAAAAAATTTGTCGTACGACAAATGTTATAGTAAGTACCCTAAAGCCAGGGTTGGGAAAGTTACTTTATAAAAGGATCTAGCTACAGTTACAGTTTTTTTGCTAAAAATAGTTACAGTTACAAGTTACCAATTCTGAAAAGTAACGCGTTACAGTTACAGTTACTAAAAAAATAACGAACCGTTACTTTGCAGTTACTTTCTTACTGAGATTTTACGAATGAACGTTTCTAATAATAAAAAATAGTAAAATCGGAGACAAATATTAGGAATCGGGTCCCGCGCAAAATTCACGCAATTTCTCCAACATTTTATGTTAACTGTGTTTATGTAGTTCTATTAGTATAAAAATTGATTTAAAAAATGTCTCAATATCCTGTAACGTAAGCGCAAATCGATCGATTGTTTTCTTAGAAATATAGGTACACGCAATATATTTGTATGAATAATTTATTTTCAGTATTAGCAAAATCTATCGTAAATCAGGAACATTTAACGCATAAATTATTACGTTCCACCAGCATAAATAAAAAGCGTAATAAAGCTCGATGCTTCTTTTAATTTTCTCAAAATAATATTTAAAATTATTAAAATTTTGCGTGTAGCAACACACACGTGTAGCACGCGCGTCCTAAGATTTTAATTTAATCCCTTATTATTCTATAGCGTAATCAATACTTTTATAGGAACTCATTCTGAAAATTCTGTTTCCGACAAACTTCACTCTCCTATAAATATGTATGTATGTATGTACATACATGCACATAGATAAATTATCCTTGACTCAATTTATTCATATATACATATTTAACAAATAGCCTTTTTCAGTAAGTTCTAAAATCGACCAAATTTCATATACTAGTCTATACTAATTGTAAGTTTAAATGCGTATATCACTCTTTCAGATCTTAGATCCAATATATAAATTCCATTTTATAAACTGTATCTCTCTTAAAGAATTCCTTCCAAAAAGATAACAGATTTAACAACAAATTCAACGTTTACTTCCTAATATCTAATTGAACTGCTTTAACGCTCAGCGAAAACAGATATATCCATTCTATAATTCGTCTCTGTATCTTTTTCTTCGTTTTTTTTCTCTCATTTTTATTTTCAACTGTCCTATGCTTATAAAAGCTGATTCGAAATGCGAGATTACGGCCTCTCATGTTATAATCTACCAATCGAACGTTTCTAGATATACTATACTGTTTGCTACAATTATTCACCGAGGCTCAATTTTTGCTTAATCTCCAACGCGAGCTTGTAACCGAGCTCCGGCCGTCGGTCTCTCCCCTCCACCATGGCCTTCACCTGGCTGGAATTCACTATTACACCGTTGCTGCCTATTACGGTGGCCTTGGTCTTCTCGATGTCGACGAGATCCACGCCGCGACTGCAGTCGTCGATCAATATAGTGCGGTAACCGCTGGTGAGCGCGTCTACCGCGGTGGCGCCTACGCAAACGTCGTAGGCCAAGCCGCAGATGAAGATGTCGGTGGCACCCTTTTCTTGCAGCTGCGACGACAGCGTGGTCTCAGTGAGCTTCTTGTTGTCCCAGAACACCGAGTATGAGTCGACCTCCGGGTTCGTGCCCTTATAGATCTTGATTGAGTTGTCGACGATCTTCAGGTCCTTGTGGAGCTCAGCACCCCAGGAGTCCTGCACGCAATGACGCGGCCACAGACGTTGCTTCAGCAACGGTGGTCCCTGGAACGTCACTGTGTCGTACACCCGCGCCGCTTCCTTCGAGATATTGCTGCTGATGTCCACCTCTCTGATGAAAGCAAATGATTGTTAGTTAACGAAAACATTCTTTTCTGCCTCTTTTACTTTCTTTGCTAATGCCGGCCTTATGTCTTCTATCGAAAATTATATTAATAAACAGAAGTTAGATACTCTTTAATTAAAAAAAATAGCAGTTATACTTTTGAAGTTGCACAAACATTTATTAAATAAAGTAGACTTTAATGTCTTACATTTTGCGACGTAAGCTGCTAATTACCTCAAGTGCAAATTATCAATGAAGGATACGTGATCCACGGGATGCCAATCCAAGGAGTAAAACACCGCGTCGAACGGCACAGTTTCCAGCAATCGATTAATCGGGTCGATCACTTCCGAACCATCGTGCTGCGCGGCGCAATGCTTTATGTTCAAGGAACCTGTTATAAAATCATTTTGCACGTCCACAATCAGGAAGGCGCCCTTGGGACGCGTGCATACTTTGATCCATCGGTTCCAGCAGACCTGCAAGTTGCATCAGTGGTCAATGTAAATTTCTGAATCAGAAACTTATCAACACTTTTCGTAATTAAATTTTTCACAATAAATTTGAAAATTAAAATCATCTAGACGCTAACATCCTGTCTTGGCTTTTATATCTTTTATTACTTTGAATTGTGATTTCACGTCAGAACCTTATAAATTTTACCGTTTAAAATTATATTGTTAAAAAGCGTTAACTAAATATATTTTCTACTATTGGCGGAGAAAAAAAGCGTAAAGTTAAATCATTTCCTACATTTTATACTTAAAGTTCTCTGGTGTCTCTCAAAACGAGCAGTTCGATTGATAATATTCTGAACACCCTTTATGTACCTCAAACTCTTCCCTGTCGATCAGGCCGTCGCCTTTGAGATCAAAGATAGCGTACACCTCGCGCAGTTGATCCTCTTCGAAACCGTAAATCTTGCCGCGGTCATTTCGAAACAATGCGCGGCATATGAGATCGAATTCGGAGATCGACAGGAATCCGTCGCCGTCTTTATCGAAGGCATTGAAACATGCGTCCATGTCTATCAACGCTACTTGCCGACTACCTGTTCCCAAGCTCCACTTTGTTTAATCAATACTCCGATTAGCGTCTGTCCGATCACTTTACACCTGGACCGCTCTGCCAAATATAGATCCATCGATGAGAATACTGCAGTATTTTATATATAATACTTATCGTTGTTACTGCAATACGTTGTAATCTAGCCCCACTCGATTTTTTTCTCTTTAAAAGTAGCACGAGTGCTCGGTAAGTATCGCTTTCTATCGTCGTTCAGCGATCGATTTATTATTAAATGGTTACGGTGTATTACAATGTTGTACAGACAATTCTTTTATTTATCATGCCTTTTACATTTCAGAATTTCAGACAGGATCAATTTGACCCATTTACCGTTATTACTTCAGAATTGTACCATCTCGAATTACAGTATTGTCCCTTTATTTTGGTGGCACTACATAGATCGCGCGAGTCTCTGATGCGTCAACAACGACACGTCGACCATCGCTTCGGGAAGCAGCAGCTCGTGCACCTCGTACTTGGAGGACTCTTCATAAGCGTACGTCACCGAGGTGTCGGACAGCAGCATGTTGCATTGCGCCAGGATCAAGATGCAGTTACGCAGCCGCGTGCAAACGCCGCGATTCTCGACCGGGATCTTCGACAGATCTTCGGTGAAGCCACCCTCGGACTTGTCGACGTTCTGAATGCTCGCGCCGATCCACACGTAGCCGTTGTAACCGAGTATCAGGGTCGCGCCGCTCTCCAGAGTGTGATAGTGCGTCTTCTTACGTTGTATCAACAACGGCGGCACCTTCAGCATGATCCCCTGCGACAGTTTGCCATACTTCAACACCCGCGTGTGCAAAGAGAGCGAGCCGTCGGCGAAGATCGACTGCACCTCCGCGCAAATCAGGTCTCCCTCCTGCAAGTACCTGCGCATCGTCTGCTCATCCTCGGCGGATCTTCTCCTCTGCGAATTTCAAGAGCAATCCAATACATGATGCACTCGGAGCTGTTGCATCTTTGACAAATTGACAAAAATTCGCGTTTTACCAAATAGAGAGAAACTTAATTGATTACAGGTGTATTTGAGGGGTAAACCGCTCACCAAACTCGTGTATACCAATGCCTGCTTAATGCCCAGTGGGCATTACTCTGTCGTAGCCCGATAGCGAAATTAGCCATTTAGCTAAAAGCCAAGCGTTTAGCTAAATGCCGCCCGTTAGGCTAATCGACGACGATATAGTCTAATGGCTTGAAAAATTCAGCCTGTTAGATGACAAGTCGGCTTTTCGCCTAACGGCCTGGTGCGCTTTAGACGACTAGAGAAATGCTTGTTTTGAGGCTCGATGCGTTGTCAATTTATTTAGTACACAATTATTACTACATTACTATTTGTTAATACAGGATAACATAGTCAATTCATGCCTGAAGTCAATTTATTTATTTTTACACTTTCTATTTGTTAATGCAAGACGAGCTACTGTGACAACGAGAATTGCAAAGGATTTTTGCTTTATAACAAGCACATTTTTGGGAATGTCAGCCATGGTAATAAGATTAGTGCCCGATTGTGCAATTTCAGTACGGGGGAACCACCCTTTCAATATCCCATCCTTGGTTCCAATTTTATATACGTCATTTTTTTTATCAGTTACAACGCCAAATATGTTATTAAAATAAATTAGTATGGCTCGTGTGTGTTAATCACAAATTTCAAAGAATTTTAAAGGACTCAGAGCCGTGACAGGGTGGTAGTGTCTAAAATATTCTATTCTATCATAAGTTTATTGCGAAAAAATATCACCTCGGCCAAGGTTTGAACCTGGGACCTCCCTCTCGCTAGGCGGGCGTCTCAACCAGTTCGACCACCGAGGCAGGGGATATATTGTGGAGATGATACTGTGTTTTAAGACTGACAAATCAAATCGGCGCACAGTTCTCGATTTCGAATGCTGCGATAGGTGGCACTCGGGAATCAACATTAGACTGTTTATTGCGATGAGTATTGCCATGTGCCTCGGTGGTCGAATTGGTTGAGACGCCCGCCTAGCGAGAGGGAGGTCCAGGTTCAAACCCTGGCCGAGGTGACATTTTTTCGCAATAAACTTAGAATAGAATATTTAGACACTACCACCCTGTCGCGGCTCTTTGCAATTCTCGTTGTCACAGTAGCTCGTCTTGCATTAACAAATAGAAAGTGTAAAAATAAATAAATTGACTTCAGGCATGAAATGGCTGTTATCCTGTATTAACAAATAGTAATGTAGTAATAATTGTGTACTAAATAAATTGACAACGCATCGAGCCTCAAAACAAGCATTTCTCTAGTCGCTAAGCGCACCAGGCCGTTAAGCGAAAAGCCGACTTGTCGTCTAACAGGCTGAATTTTTCAGGCCATTAGACTATATCGTCGTCGATTAGCCTAACGGGCGGCATCTAGCTAAACGCCTAGGCTTTTAGCTAAATGGCTAATTTCGCTATCGAGCTACAACTCTATTTTAATTATGTTACTTTATCGTTATAATGCCCCAGCAAGGCCTAATGCCCAAAAATGCCTAGTAATGTCCAGTAATGTCGCAAATCTGTTTGCCACAATGTCCTCGGCGGTTTATCCCTTGGGTGTACTTCATAGCAAATAGAATTGAAGAGTATGCAAGTACACCGAAGGCTAGCAATAACGACAAGTGCCATGTCGTGTTTCTGTGAATTCCAAACAGACCCCGAGGACCAATTTAAACTTCATAGAACAAGACTAGATCTCAAGATCAAATTGTAGAGTATTTTCATGTATTTCGGAGAGGGTCCGTTATTAAAGAGAAAAAGAAAACTCAACTCGAAATATTTTGTACGGACGCTTAAAGAGAAACGAGGGTGCTCCAGGATCGATCTGCCTTACCAATTCACCACCAGGCAAGTTAACGCTGGACAATAATAGGACAGCGTCAAGCTTGGCGTTTACGTCGACTTTCCAGCGCTTCTGCTGTACTTCCGTTATCCTTCCCACAATGAGATCCCCGATCTCACCGTTGTAGCGTGCCTTCAAGGGCCTGATCGATATGAGCTTGTTCACCTTCTCCAGAATCCCAGCGACCGAGGCGCGCAACGTTTTCTCCTCGTCGACGTAGGTCCCGTGGCCTCTAATCAAGCAACCAGTTCCGACGGATTAAACAGCCAATTTACTTGACCAAGCAAATTGAGTAGACGTAAAATCGAGGGTCTGTCTACCTTAAGAAATCCGGCTGATTGGATATCTCCTCGCCGGGTGTGTAGAGCCGCGGCTGGATGCCCTCGTTCGCTATCAGATTGAAGTCTACCCTATTCACCGCCAGACGTACGTTAATGGGCGGATACTGAGCCATTTTTACAGTAAAATAGACAAGATTCGATTTGCCGATTGTTCTCACCTTCGCGACAACTCGATCTCTCTCGATCGAGCGTCGCCGGCACGTAAACACTGCCGATATTACGTCACGCACCTGACGCACCACGTGTGAAGTGAACTATAGGCGCGTCCATGGAGCTACACTTTTTCGTGCATGCGTGTAAATGAGCACCGACGAGGTACAGGTGGTGTCGCTAGAGAGAGTTTTTATGAACCGCCTAATGCGAACGCGGCGTAACACAGATAGATTTTGGAGCACGCTCGAATGCCAATTTCATTAACGAGGTTATGATTGCGAGCTGATGTAAGTTAAAAAATATTTAAAATTACGCAGGCCCGGTTTTTCATCTTCTGGTTAAATGTTAACCAGAAGTTAGTCGATTGCCTGTCTCTTCTTAGATAGTAGTACAGAAAAAGATGAAGAGTCGACTAACCTCTGGTTTACCGGTTAACCAGAAAATGAAAGGCCGGGCCGTATACAGTCACAGATTTACTTTGTATTTTTCGATTTTTGAAACGTTAAACATTTTAAGTTGTTCCGCGATTCTGAGTTACCTTCGAAGTTATCTAAACTTAGCTTCCTTAGCTTGTACATTGCTAACGGAGATTGTAAGTTGAGGGTAGAAAAGTAAGGGCTGTTTTCCTTCAATATCAATTTTCTCCTTTGATATTAATTTTGCAGTTTGAAAAAAAGAGATGGACGACTTTGTACCAACGCGTGGGTCTCAAATCAGGAAGACTGCGACGAGTGACTACGTCTCTGTGAATTATGAGGCGCCGAAGAAAAAGTTAAAATCTACAGACGATTCGGATAATAAGGAGCAGTCTATGGATAAGCCTGTGATGAAGCCAACGCCCGCTGAGCTGAAGGCGCAACAGGAAAAGGAGATGAAGAAGCTGCGATACGAGGTCATCAAATTCGGTATGTCCGGCTTCGAGAAACCGAAGGCAAGGAAAGCGAAGGTCGAGCTCGCCATTAGCTTGGGCGCGATACCCCCTAAGAACAGGAGGATGAATTACAAAGCGTTGAAGATTCGCCAAAGGATAGACAAAGAGAAGGAAAAGAAGAAGGAGGAGGAACACAAGTCTGGACTCACCAGTAGCTTGCTCAAACCCAAGTCCAAGAAAACGCAGAAGAAGGACAGTGGAATTCTGCGCGTTTATGGAAAAGTGTCAAAGGATGTCTCGCTTAAGAGGAAGAAGAGCTGAATTTATCAGAAAAAAAACCTGTTTTTGAGACGTAAAACTTTGTCGAAATTTGTGGAGTCTGAAGGAAACCTGTTCCAAAATAAAGTATCTTGTAAGGATGTTAGATAAAATAAAACTATATACATTTGTTAATAATTGCGTCTAATTAGATACGTTAATTGGAAACTGTTAACCAGGTTAAATAAGGACTTACAATCATCGACTCCGGACGTTAGTGAAATTGCTCCTATTTTTGAACACCGATCGCCAAATGGTGGCTGTAATTTCATTTGACAAACTCCGTAACAAGGTAGACCGACAATCTTTCTGCCACACTGTACAATTCGTTTATACTTCTCAGGTAAACTGTATGTAAAACATTTACTCCTAGATCTCACTTGATAAGGGCCTAAACCAGAGGTCGAAACGTTTGAAAGCGTGTTCAATAAATGTGGCAAGCTGAGGTCGATTAAAATTTGAAATTTTATAAATAAGGATTGTTCTTGAAAAGTAGCGTATGAAAGAATTGACGAAGAAGAAGTCTGCGAATAAAAAATAATACGCAACAATCTGGCTGGTAGTTTCGGGAAAAGGACAAGAAGGGTTGCACGAAGAAAGGCAAATTTGTAACTGCAAACATTTAAAATATTTTCTGTTGATCTCGATACAACATCAACTATCTATTGTCTAACAATAATATCTCTTCTGCATGTTGTATACTATGTATGAAGAATAACAAGTAATAAAATAATATATTTTTATATAATATATATGCCTTTTCTTTTTATATGGATTAATTTTTTTTTGGGCCAGCCTTGAGCTTTGTAATATATAGGATATAACGCTCTCGTCTGCATGTATTTAAAATAGGGTATTATTCAGGTGTGTGTACACAGTTCACGCAATGCCATAATGGAATGATTCGGCATTCTGGAGAACTGTACGTTGATCTCTCGAAATGAAATCAGTCGAAGGCGACCGCCGTTGGAGCCACCTCTAGTAACATCTGCAGGAAGGCATTGACACCTTCTGCAATCAGAAAACGAACGAGAAAGGTCAATATAAAATTTAATATGCAGAAGCACGGTAGAAATATTAAAGGCGGGGAAGCAAGATTAAACTTCAACAAGTTTTAACTCGAAATTTTTATTTTAGACTTTTCAAAAGAGATTTCAAAAGAGAACGAACTTTTTGTTCTTACTTTCAGACTTTTCGAGACTCAAAATTGTAATCTTAATTTTGTCAGTTCTTTTGTTAAATGCTATACATATATTTCTTTGTAAGTTTAATCTTAAAATTTTTTAATTTAATACCAGAAAATTCTTTAATTGGAACTTCAGATTTTTCAATCGTAAATCAGGGACTTTGAGTTTTACTCTTTTTGCTTCCTCTCCTTATCAGCAAAATATTCAATTAATTAATTAACTTTTACCAACGAGTATATATATTTTATATTATATTACGACGGATACACGACACCGTAAAATTTCATCGTTAATCGTTCGTTAAATTGACTAGTCTGTCTTTATTTTGGCAGTGTAATGGCATAAATACCCACCCATGAATTTGGGCACATATCCAAATTTTACGAAGGGGAGGTAGACAAGCATGCCCGCACCGATAAAGCCAGCCGCGTACAGGTACTCGATCTGAGGCTTATCGATAATCGGCGCCACTATGAGATACGCGGAGATGACGAGCACAAGCACAGGTATCACTAGCGGGCATTTGTATGGTCGCGGATGGTTGGGCCTGGTCCTTCGCATCACCAGTAGGGCGACCATCGAGCCGCCGTAGAATATCCATGCGGTGAACGAGAAAAAGTCGATCAGCGAGTCGATGTTACCGGAGAGAACCATCGCGCCTGCGAAATCGGTGATTTGGCTTACAACAGATAGCTTCAAGTTGACAATTCGGCGACGGTCTCGCCTTGGAAGTGGAACAACATACGTTACACAAAACAATTCGATTAAGCCAGAAAGACGTCTACGGTACAATTCGAAAATTTAAGTCTCCTAGGTGATATCTATAAGATTATAATTTAAACTTTATTTAGTTCTTTTGATAGTTAAACACTATACATATTTCTTTTTAAGTTTAGTCTCAGATCTTTTAAAATTTAATACTAAAAAAATTCTTTAGTTTGAATTTCAGATTTTTTAATCAGGGACTTGGAGTTTCACTTGTTTTACTTTCTTTTCCTAATGCTACAAACCAAAAATGTCTGATTGTGAGAAACAGTTAAAAGAATTTAGGGCCCTATTCTGTAGACGCTAACGATATCATTACGTGCTTTGCGCAGCTTTTTTGTAGTAGAGGAAAACCTCCTGTTATGAGATAGGCTTCTAATATGACATAGCGGGTTTTCAACATCCAAATTCAATCACAAATCTTTTTTCGCAACGATTACACGATTTAACAGTGAATTTTCCACTAAATAAATTCATGATGGAACCAACAGATGTGCCTATTAATTTAGCAGGAACTCCGCAATGTGATATTAGAAGCTTCTCTTATAATAGGAGACTCCTCTATATTATATCTGTGCAAAGCACGTAATGTTAACATTTACAGAATAGGCCTCTTAGAGCGATTACGTGAGGTCAAATCCCAAGCGAATAAATGTGAACTAACAGAATAAGCAACGATTTCGGTTCGAACGACAGCACTTGCCGAAGCAAGCTGCCTGGTCGCGTCTGTTCGCATTTATTTGATCTGGATTTAGCTTGATACCTGCTACGAGGGAATGGAAGATGAGGCCTGGGGCAGGAGTGAAGCGTCGCACGTGCACATAGCTCAAGCAGTCGAGCAGGTGACCCTCTCGAGACGCGGCGAAGCAGAGCCGACCCGCGGCGAACAAGGTGCCATTGGCGGACCCGAATGTGCTGATCGCTACAGAGAGTGGCATCAGCCATGCCATCACGCCCAGTATGCGATTGCCGAACGTCTGCGAAGGAACATCCGTCATAATCAGAATGGAGAAACAAACTGGTCGGGGCAAAAGTATAGAGATGACGCGACTTAACTCGCGATGGGACAGCGATTCTCGCGAAAGAATGCATTGTATTTAACAGAAAATATACTTGGCTCGTGAGGCTCGAAAGGAATTTTCGTCGCTGATGCTCACCACTGCCACAGCTTCGCTCTCGATCATTTCTGACGGTGACATGACCGCCAGGTAGGATACGTTGATAAGTGCGTAACAGAGCGTGACGAGCGGTATGCCGATCATGATAGACCTCGGCAGATTCTTGGAAGGGTTCTTGATCTCCTCGGTCACGTAATTGAGATTGTTCCAGCCGTCGTATGCCCAGAGCCCGGTGTAGAAGGCGGTGGCGAGGCGACCGATGTTGATGGTGCTACCGTCGATGGTGTCGAACGCCGTTTGCAGATGCTGCGTATTACCCTGTATCAATTTGTACGAGCCGCCAGCTATCACCACGAGTATGGCCATCAGTTTGGCGGCGGTGAAGGCGTTTTGTACGCCGGTGGCCAGGTTGACGCTGTAGCAGTTGATGAGGAGTATCAGAACGATCGCCAGCAGAGCGACGATCTTGATTACCTGGTCGGGCGGTTCGCAGTCGACGGTGAACGCCTCGACAGTGTACTGGGCGAACGACAGGCAGATGATCGCCATCTGTGACGGCTTGAGCACCAGGGTAGACACCCAGGAGAAGAGGAAGGCAGGCGGTGCGCCGAACGCGTCCATGAAGTACGCGTACTCGGCGCCGCTGCTTGTATTCATGGTGCCCAGCTCGGCGTAGGCGAGGGCGCCGCAGAGGCTCAGTAGACCGCACGCGGTCCACACAACGAAACTGATGCCGACGCTGCCTGTTCGCAACAGCAGACCCGACGGCGACACGAAGATACCGGAGCCGATCATCGTGCCGACGATTAGAGCCACCCCACTGACGAGTCCCACCCGTCTCTTGAGGTGAACAGCGTCGTTCGCCTCTGCGTCCGTCCCCTCCAGCCCTCCGCTCCCTCCACCCCCGTCTTCGTCATCCCCCACACCCCCAGACTGGCCTTGCTGTTGTTGCTGCTGCTGTTGCTGCTGCTGACGCCGCTGTTGTTGAGGATGGTGTAACGACGGTTTGCCGTTGCTGCTGCCGTTGACCGATTTGCCGGATCGGCATACCAGACCGCCGACAGTGTCGCCGGCTCCTCCTCCCAGCCAACCCCCCAATTGTAGTTGCTGTTGCTGCAGTTGTAGCTGACCGCCATTGCTCGTCTGCGGATCATGTCCCACGGTAGCTGCCAAGGAGAAGACTTGTTAGTTTGTTATCTCATCACATTGCCTTTGTTACAGGTGAAAGACTGAATACATCAAAGATTAACGTGGCCAAGATGCGCTGACGAAACAGCTAACGTTAACAAATTAGCGTTACGCTATTTTATTCTGTAAAATAAAATAGTGAAATATACATGAAGTCGATTGGAAGATATCTCGTTATTTGCTCCACGAACAGATTACTCTGTTGGCAACATTAATAATTAAATTACATTCAGTTACTAATTTTTAATTTAGATTTATTGTGCACGCCGCTTTTCTTCGCCGCAAATTGATTTTTAGTCAGAGTTGTAAAAAAGCATCCATATCCGAAAAATATCAAAAATAATCTTTGTTCGACAAAAATCTTTCCAGATAAAAATAACTTTGGTCTCGTAGAATTATCCGGCGCGTCTCTTGATGAATAATTCGAACTCGTTATTTGCTCGACGGATAGATTACTCTGTTAGCAGCATTAATAATTGAATTACATTCGATTACTAATTTGCAATTTAAATTTATCGCGCACGCTGCTTTTATTCGTCGCAATTTGAAGCACGATTTTTAGATCAGAGTTGTAAAAAAGCATATCCATATCCGAAAAATGTCATAAACAATCCTTCCCGAGCCGAACTTTGGGCCCTATGTTGAACCTTCAATTCTATTATATAGAAGGACCTGAGACAGTAAGAGGGGTCGAACTGCAAGTACCATATTTACTACTACTATAGATGAGCTAGGTAGGTGTAAATTGTCCTTAAAGGTGTCAAAATAGTACCAAAATTTCGACTCGGGTTATTCGGCAAAAATAACTTCACCCTCGTAGAATTACCGATGAACAATTCGATCTCGTTATTTGCTAGACGGATAGATTATATTATACTTCGTTAGTGTTAACGTTAATATTTGAAAGGTTAATTAGACGATATTTTAAAACGTTCCGGGGGAAAAAAGCTATGTATCCAATTTTATCTAACTGTATCAATTAATGTCAGATATGATAAAATTTGTTCAGATTATATCCAAATTTTAATGCATTCATTTAGAAGCATATCAAATCAGATGTGACGATGCATTAAAATTTGGATATAATCTAAACAAATTTTATCATATCTGACATTAATTGATACAGTTAGATAAAATTGGATATATGGCTTTTGTCCCCGGGGTTCTCTAATTTTCCAGGCATTTTGAAGTAGTCTTTCCCGTCTGTTGATTTTCCGTCCCGATGAAACTTTTAAACGAGTCACGTAAAAAAGTTCACAGAACAAAGTAAACAGTGGTGGACTCTTCATAAATAATATATTGCTGCTATCGAAGTTTCGAATAATAAACTTCCCCGCCTCTTTAAATAGCAACGTATCAATCACACCTGTCTTATAAAGTAACAAACTTGTTCAGAAGTGGCTATTCGGAGCCACGTACTTGATTACTCCGTGAAGCAGAGTACCCGGGACTCGATTAAAGATACGTCCATTTTCTGACGAGTGCTTCCG